CACTGTGTACCTTTTTGCAAAAGCAAACTACTGAAGTCCCACTAACTTAAATTTGTTTAAAATGTATGAAGTGTGATCAAAATGCATGGTGAATGTTTAATTTTAAAAAATTTATCCCAGTACAAGGCCAGGAACCCCTCTCCAAGTCCCCTCACTGCAAATTCGCTCACCCTACCCTTCCTTGCTCCACTGTCTGAGGCAGCTGAGTCCTCTTTCCCAAGTGTCCTTCACTGTACTCTCATGGCTGCTCCTCCCTGTCCTGCATTGATTGAAATACTTTCCTTTGCGTGATCAACGTGACCTTGGGAAGAGCCAGAAGTTGCCTGGTGCCAGATCCAGCAAATGAGGACGCAAAGACTTCACTGCAGCGTGGGTGTGGGGCCAGTGTCCTGCCCAGCACAGGCATCACAGGGGAGAGACACCCAGGGATGCTGAGGCCCAGAGCAGTGGGCAGAGTCACCTGTGACATGTGCTCCAAAGAGGCTTCTGGGCGGGCAGGGCTCAGGCCTCCTGCTGCAACAGCATGTCTCCTACTGGCTGGAGCTCCCATACCCACCTGGCCTGTCTTTGAGAGATGGTGTCAGGCCACATGGGCAGTGCCAGTGTGCACAGCAACAGTGGAGGGACAGTTCACCTCTCCTACTGCCCCAACATTGGCACCTTGAGCCCAGGAGACGTGGGACAGAAGTAGGACCATGGCCCTGGCACTGCAATTAGATGGGTGCAGGTCCTGGGGCCCCTCCATCCCAAGGCCCATGAGCAAGACGACCTGCGACCCACACAGGTCACCGGGAAGTCCCCAGGAAAGGTCCTAGGTTGCAGGCACTGAAGAGGGCAGCAGAGGACTGTGCTGCAATCATACTAACTGGGCTGAGCTGCTAGTAAAAGATGATGCTTGGTGTTTTACAACCTACTCACGCTATTGCTGAAAGCCTGGCTTCTCCAACAGCAGTGGACACTGCTCTCAACCTGGAGCTGCAGTTTGCACAGTGCAATTAGACTGTAAAGTGTGCTCATTTAACTGATTCTCAAATATGAGCAAACGGTTTCTGGAGCAGGTGAACAGCAGAAGCGCTGTGCCAGTCCCAGAATGGCCCAGCAAGAGAACCCACAAGAGACACCCTGTTTCAAAACTCAAACAAGATGCAACAAAAAGTTCATGTCTTGGAAGTAGGAAAGATTGAAGCACAGGTACTTTGTCAATTTTCGGCTAGAAATCTTTATGTATTTTTAAATTCAGCGCTGCGGGTTGAACCTGAGGTGCTCTACTACTGAGCTGCACTCCCAGCACCTGACACCCCCGAGGCAAGGTCTCACCAAGCTGTCCAGCCTGGCCTTGATCTGCAGTTCTCCTGCCTCAGCTGCCCACACAGCTGGGGTCACAGGTGTGCAGTGCCAGTGTGCACAGCAACAGTGGAGGGACAGTTTACCTCTCCTACTGCCCCATGGCTTGAACCATGTTTCTAAGAAAGTTTAGGAGAAAAAAAGAGAATGACATCAGCTACTACATGATTTCACTCAAGAGCCCTTTGATTTGATTTGCTCTTTGGTGGGTTCTGTCTGTTTTTCCTGTAAACTCACTGTGGCGCTCAGGCCCCAGCACGAACTGAAGAGAAAAGCAGCCAGCTGAGTGCCAAGCCCTTTGCCTGACATGGTCCCCTGGCAGGGAGGGGCCCAGGCACCCAGGACTCCCACGGCCTTCCAGTCCCTATTTTCTTAGGGCATCAGTGATCCTCAGTGCACACCTTCATGCCCTCGGCCTGTCCTTGGCCGAGGAGTACCTCGTGGTGTCTGTGGACTCTGCCCCTGCATTGCTGTTCCCTGTAGGGTGAGGACCCAGATCTAGGGAGCTCAGGCTGAGGTCTAGCAGGGACCAGGGTACCCCAACTGCTGCCCTGAGATGAGGACCCCTGGGGACTGTGGAGGAGGAACCTCCTCAGCCATTGACTTTTTAAAAAAATGTATTTAGTATAGGGTCTACAGGGTCTCACTACACAGATCAGACTCGTGGCGATCCTCGTGTTTTCAGCCGCCCAGGTGCTGTGATCACAGGGGCACACCACCACGCCCAGTCTCACTCACTATCTCAGCACACCCCAGGAGGGGGGCCAGCACAGCACACTGGGGATCAAACCTGGGTCCCTGAGCCTGCATAAGAGGCACTTTAGTCTGCTAAACTATCTGGCTGGCCCCTTGGAGCCTCCTCAAAAGACATTCTGGGCCCACTGGTTTTGAGTGCCAGAACAGCTCTGTTCTGCAAGCTAGATGAGGCCAGGTGTGCACTCACCCTATCCCTGTCCCCGTGGATAACGAATGGGTTCATGATGCTGTGTGGCCCAACTTCCAGCCTCTCCTTGCCTCAACTAAGCACCTCTTCTCTGGGGTCTCCATGTGGAAGGCTTGATTTGGGGTTTTTGCAAGGGGAACAATACAATACAGGTCACATTTTATAAGAATGTTTTATAATGAATCACCTAAAGAATCCACACACTAAAGACCAAAGAATTCAGCTGATGGCTGGATCCCACAGCAATGTCCTGCATGAGTCCAGATGACGCCCTAGAGCCCATAAAAATGTCTCATGAAGGCCTGTTTCACCGATCTGCACTGGGAAGGTTCAAAGGTCAGTGGTGGAAGCTAGAAAGCCTGTGCCAGTGGGATGAAGAATCTGTGTTAACAGGCTGGGGGATCTGAATCGGAGCCAGAAAGCAACACAAGGTGTTACAGTTTGTGTCTAGATGTCCCCCAAAGCCTCATGCAGTCATGGGGCAGCTTCTGGAGTCTGGGATTGATTCTTGATCCAATGCTGGGATTAGGAGTGTGAGTGCCCCTGGGCAGATACTCTGCATACAGATGTAAGGAAGGGGGGAGAGGCTAGCTAGCTGCCAGTGCTGCAGCCCCTCTCTTTGCTTTTTTTTTTTTTGGCACCAGGGATTGAACTCAGGACCTTGTGCTTGCCAGGCAAGCACTTATTCCCCTGAGCTATCTCCCTGGCTCTCCCTTTGCTTTTTGCTGCTGCACTGAACGGTTGCTCTGTCATGTGCCACTCTGCCTTGGAGGCAGCTGAGTATGGAATGAAACCTCCACCCACTGTGAGGTAAATAAACCTTTCCTTCCTTAATTCTGAGTGTTGGATATTTTGTCCCAGCAATGAGAAAAAAGTTAACTGACACAAAGTAAGCACGAGAGCTCTCCCAAAGGTACCACAGCCATCCTCAGCAACAGGGAGGTCTCCAGCTTCTCCAAGAATGAAGAATGCTGAGGTCCCTCAGGAAAGCCAAAGTGGCAACCTCCTCCAGGAGACTGAGCGGTGTACCACCTTTCCTCCAAAGCCAGGAAAAAAAGACCAGAGCTCCCCCAAAGTAGAACCATAGCCATTCTTAGTGACAATGAAGTCTCAAGTTCCTCCTCCAACAAGAACAGCCAAATTCATCAGGAAAGCCAGCAGGACAAAGTCCTCTAGCAGAGTGGCCCAGGAGACCCAGCAGCTCCCTGCCAGCTCCACCAGCTTCTCCAGACAGCTTCCTTAACAGCCTCCCAGCCACCTCTCCAGTTCTGCAGCCCCCCCCCTTTTCTTTGGCAGAACCGGGGATTGAACTCAGGCCTTTGCGCTTGCCAGGCTAGTTCTGCCTCGTATGCTGCTGGCAACAGTCCTCTCAGATGGGCCTCCCACACCCAGCACCATGCTAGCTCAGTTCAGCTGGCTGTTACCAGCTGACCACCAGTTGCAATCCACCACAACTCGCCAGGGCGCTCCCTGCCCCAGGAGCGAGTGGCAGCCTCCACGAACCTCACAGTGCCCACTTCTTGGCCCTCGTCACCCCTTATGACAACCACCACACGGAAGGTTTGCCCAAGACACACAATCCAAGGGTGGTGGTGCTGGGTTTTGGGGCAGACACGGTGGAACACCAGGCTGAGGTACTGCTTAGGTTAGCTTTCAGCTTCCACGCTGGTTTCACGAGTCTGGCCTCCCTGGGTCACAACCCCCAAATTCCCAAGAGTCAACATCGCCAAGGGATAAAGTTGAAAATGCTGACACCCCTAAAACCACAGCCCACTTCCTCCGCTAAGAGGATCAGAGGGCTGCACACGGGGGTTGATGTCATTCTCTTTTTTCCCCTAAACTTTCTTAGAAACATGGTTCAAGCCAGGTGAGGCACTGCACACCTGTAACCCCAGCTGTTTGGGCGGCTGAGGCAGGAGAACTGCAGATCAAGGCCAGGCTGGGCAGCTTGGCAAGACCTTGCCTCAGGGGTGTCAGGGTGCAGCTCAGCAGTAGGCTCTTCGGGTGCGGGGGCGGCAAGGCCGGCGAGGCATCCGCCAGGGGCGCGCGGAGGTGGCCCGCGCGACGCAGCTGCCTCGGCCTCGCCGCGACCCCCTCTAATGTTGAGTTTCTCTTTGGCTTGGAAAACCTTCCCCACGGCCTCAAGTTCCCCGCTCCGGCCAGCAGGGCGGCTTCCAGGGGCTGGCTGGGAGGCAGAGGCAGAGGCAGGACGCCGCGAAGGGCGCGCCGGCTCCGGCCGGTCCGCCGACCGCGCCGACAGGGCCGCAAGGGCGCAGGGGCGCGGCTCCCACCCGGGCGGCTCCGGGTTCCCAGCCGGAGGCGCGGACCACGTCAGGACTTCTCCAGCTCTCCTCGCGAGGGCACCGCACGACGCCCCATCTCCGCAACACGCAGCCCTGGGCATCGACCTCGCCACGAGCCGCACGAAGCCGTGCTGCGGCCCGGACCGCTGCTCCGGCTAGCTGGCGTCGGCGGCGCGGACTCTCAACCGCGGCGGAGGCGAGCCTGCGCGCGCGCGGGTATGGGCGGGGGCTGCCGGCGGGGCGGGGCCCGAGCGTGTTATGGGCGGGGCCTGCCTGCGGGGCGGGGCCGGCCCGAACACGTTGTGGGCAGGTACGGGGGGCGGGGCCCGAGCGCGTTGTGGGCGGGGCCTGCCGGCGGGGCGGGGCGGCCCGAGCGCGTTGTGGGCGGGCACAGGCGGGGCCTCGAGCGAGAGCGGGCGGGCAGGCGAGTGTGAGGCCAGATTGCGCCGGCCGCCCGCCCGCCCGCCACGCGGCGTTTCCCCGCTGCGGCGGACGGGGCGCGCGGTGACGCGAGCGCGGCCGGCATGGAGGGCTTCTCGGCGCGGACCTACGGCACGAGCGCGCCGGACCACAGGCCGCTGTTCGGGGAAACGTCGGCGCGGGTGAGCCGGGGCGGGCCGGGCCGCGGCCTGCGCGGGAGCCCGGGGCCGTTACGCGGGGAGCGGGCCTGGCGGGCGGGCCCGGCGCGGACCGCAGGGTGGCTCGGGCACGGAGCAGAGCAGGAAGTTTCTGTTCCGGTGTGGTCCTGGCCGAGAGTCGGGGTGCGGACTTCCTGACACGAGAACCCCAGGGAGCGGGGGCGCAGCAGTCACCCAGCGCTCGCAGCCCAGGACCAGCCGGGAGCCGCGGACTCGCTCCGCACCACTGGACAGACCCCAGCGACGCCGGGTCTGCGGGCGGGCGGGCGGGCCGGCCGGGCCGAGCACCGCGCTCCGAGTGCCCCCGGAACCCTTCCCTGAACTTTGCGGATCTAAATATGCCTCTCACAGTGCAGCTTGTGTAGTCCAAGCGTGCATTGCTTAGGCAGCTTCAGGGCGTTGTAATAGTGGATTCTGCTCCTCAGGGGAAAAAGTAAAGGATATATACTATATATATTCTGCAACTCCAGAGCTCTCCAAATTATGCCCCGTAGCTCGCGGTGAGGCTGGCAGGGTCATTGGATTTGGAGGAAGTCCATAAATGAAGAAAGGAAAATGACCCAGGTCTGAAGGTGGGAGAAAACATGCTTCCAGCGAACTAGGGCCAGATCTGGCGAAGCACCCATCCTTGTTTACAGCAAATGAAGCTTTTAACCCAGTGTCCGAGGTGGGCAAGGCACAGGAATGACGTCCCAATAAGCCGAAAGGATGATGCCGGCCGTGCAGGGGCTCTCTTGGGGACTCTGAGACACCCCGCAGTGGCCCAAGGATGTGGGTGTCCATAGCTTTCCTCTTTCCGATGCCTGGAAACCAAGCACAGTGGCCACTCGATGCAGAAACTTTTAGTAGTGAGCTTTTGAGGCGGAAACAGAAAGGGAAACCACGTCTCCTCTCCAGAGGCAGAGCTTTTTAGAATTGTATTTGTTCTATAATTACAACATGTGTCTGCAGTTTTAGGTGTACCCCCTGACTTTAGGGTGGAGGGCATGGAAGCTCAGAGCAGAGGGATTTGAAGAGGAGTGTTTCCTGGTGCTGGCGGCCAGATCCCTTTGTGAGCTCCTATTGCTAGAGAACCAAGAAAGCAGCCAGGAGGGTGTTTGTGCCTTCACGGCCGGGTTCTCTCTGGCAACACCCCAGCTGTCTTCTGAGAGTGCACGGTGGGTTGAAGAGTAACTGATTCCTGGGCCTGGGCCAGTGCTTCTCAGAAATCACATCACTCCTGCTCTCTGGGGGAGTGGCTGAGGTGTGTGAGGAAAGCTCAGGGCCCTGTGGGTGGGCAGGAGCAGCCTGGTGGCTATGGTACAGGACAGCCATCTTCCCTATCCTGTCTGCACGGGGCAACGTTGGCCACTGAGATTCAGACTTAGGCTTCAGCGTAAGGTTTAGGGGCAACTCTCAGATGTGGCCAGTGACAGGCAGTGATATGTAAGTGACTTGACAAAAAGGTGAGGCATTCCTCCCCACATCCCTTGGTGCTGTTGGAATGACACAGTGTTGGAGCCTGGTGAGGATGCCCAGTGCTTTGCTCATTGTCAAACCATTCCCAAGTTTGGCACATTGGAACACTTCTTTCAGATGAAAAGCAAATGTGGTACAGAAACTGAGATAATAAATGTTTGATGTTTCTAAGCCCACAGTGTTACCTAGCATTTTCTAAACTAGCATTACCTGATAGAAATATAATGTGAATGATATATGTAATTTAGAATTTTTTAGTAGCTTCCTTAAAACATAAAGAAACAGCTGAAGTTAATTGTAAAACTTTATAAAACCCCATGTATTCAGCATTTCAACCTATCGATATAATGTTTAGATATTTAGATACCTTTACTCTGTTGTTACTGAGCCTTTGAGACCAGCATATCATCGGCCCACCTTACTTTGGATTAGCTGAACTTTAGGCCTCAAGACCCTGGGGCTCAAGCGGTGCTGTTCTTTCTCAGTCTGCTGTGGAATTACTGTTGGGATGGAGAGTGCTTGTGAAGCGCTGCCGTGCTGCAGGATCTCTGGAAGCTGTAACAGCCCCTGCAACTGTTGCCTTCACCGTGATGGGTCCATGAGGCTGTAGAGCATTCCTTCCTTCCTGGTGATGTGAACAGCTTATCACCAGCATGGTGCCTTGCCCTACCTACCCTCAGGAGTGCTGCAGGCAGATTCTCCAGAGCTTCGGAAAAACCACTTAGGCCTGTCCTCCTAGCTTTCCAACCCTCTTCAGCAGAGCTTGAAGTTGGAGCTGTCTCCCCATCTGTGTGAGGAGGCCATCGTGTTCTTGGAGCTGCATCTGACACAGGGTCTGCAGTCCACTCTGAAAACCTGGGGTTCCTGGGGAGGAAGCCCAGCAGTTAGTTCCCACAGCTGGGACCCACCAGAAGGGGCGCATGAACCACTGGTATGTCCTAGTGAAAATCAGCTTCCTGTCCACTTGCTCTGATGTTCACAGGCCATGAAGTAAGTGGCCTTGTACCCAGGAAGGGAGTGATGGCTGCTGTCCTATCACCCCTTTTGGGATGTGATGTGTGCGGAGTGACTTTGCCCTGCAGCATGGCCCTGAAGTTTTCCAGCAGACAACATGGAGAAGGCAGGAACATGGATGGGCCAGTGAGCAAGCCTTGAAGCTGAGATGTGGTTCCTGGAGCAAAATGTGCTTCTGGCAGCCCAGCCTCAGGAATGAGCCAGTGAATAGCAATGGGAAGTACACATCTTTTCCTGACCAGTAGTACTGCTCAATTAAGAAACAGCTGTGGGTAGGGCCCTGTACCTGCTGACCCCCAAGGCTCCCACATCCCCAGAGCAGGGCCCCTGTGGCCCAGGCACAGGGCATGGTCTCTCCTCTCTCACAGCCCACCTGCCAGTCTTGTCTAGTGTCTTAGGCTGGAGAAATAACATACGTCTGCCAGATTCTGGGACTTATTTTCCTCCCTCTTCTTCATCAAGCCTGGGTTGGTGTGGCCCACAGGCCCTTTCCATGTGGATGGCTCTGCAGTGTGGCTATAGCAACAGAGAGTGCGGGCTGACCTGCTCGGGCAGGCCCTCCGCTCAGGGCCTTCCCCCACCAAGCCAGCTTCTGTCCACGCTTCCTCCTGCTGGCCTAGACATCCACGCTCCATGAGAGCACAAGGCTCATGTGGCCCAGTGGAGGGGTGCTCTGTGCGTGTGGGGCAATGGCCTCCCCAGCTTGTGGTTTTGATGTATCTCAAGTTGGAGGTAAGAATATACCATCCCCAAAAGGTAGCCCTCATTCTCAGAACCTTCTGAAGCAACAGAAACACAGCCGGGGTTCACAAATCTGGGTGCTCTGGCTGTCAAAACAGGAAGTGGTGTCTGAAGTGAGCACTGAGGCAGTGAAAGCCATTCTCACCTTTCCTTCCTGTGAGCTCTTGTGTAGCCAGCCATACAGCATCTGGTGGTCTGAAGACCCACAAGAACTCCTGGCCTCAGGAGCAGAGGGCCTGAAACATGGGGCGTTTGATGGTCTGTGGGCCTTAGCTGGTCTACCAGGTTGAGTCACTTTCCTTGTGGTCAGTCTACAGTCTGTGTCTAGATACAGTGACCACTGCATGAAATACCAGCGTATATGGTATCAAGAGAAAAGGGTTTTGGTTTCTGGTGTCAGAGGCTCGGTGTGTGGTTGATTGGTCGGGTCAGAAGCATCATGGTGAGGAAAGCCGTTCACCTCAAGGTGGTCGAGGCAGAGAGCAAATGGTGGCCAGAGAAGCACAACTTTCAGGGGCTCACTGCCAGTGGTTACCTTCCTGTCCCAGGCATTGCCAGCGCATATGCAGCTCTGACCTTATTGTGGGTGAATCCATTCACCCATGACCCCGTTACCTTCCCTCAGCCCCACCTTGGGGTAGCTTGCCTGCCTGGCACACATGAGACTGGTGCTAGGGGGGAGTTGACCTGTAGGATCACCCCCCAACAAAGTCCCCACCTTTGGACATGTGTGGGGGCACATTTTGATCTGACCCCTCACTGGGACTATGTTTTCTGAGCTGCTGTAAAGGTGTGTGGGTGACAAGTCTGAGTGTCCCTGGGGAGGGTGGGAGCCCTTAAGTTTGGGGTTGTCGCAGATTTGGGGCCAGATGTAGGCTAAGCTCAGCTGCCCTTTCAGCTCTGTGGAGCTCATCTCCATCCGTGCAGTAGAAATAGTACTGACACCATCTTGGTAGCTACCACTTTTGGTCCATCAGCCCTGAGCCTGTAGTAGGGGGCTTATGTAGACTTTATGTTCTCCTCTGCCTTCATTCCTACCCCTGCAACATCTGACCACTGCACAGAGAAACTAAAACTAAGGCTTACACATTAAGTAAAGCCAGGTGTGGTGGTGCACACCTGTGATATCAACACTTAGGGAGAATGAGCTCTACCCAGGCAACTTGGCAAGACCTGGTCTTGAAATAAAACGTATAAAGAAAGGTGAGGATATAGCTCGGTGTGAAGGCCCTAGGTTCAGTCCTTAGTAACACACAAGTAGGAGCACACAGAGAACAGAGAACTTGCCCGGGGAAGGGGGGGTATCTGCTGGGGCTGGGCACCTGGGGCTGCTTCCAGTCACTGGTCTGATTTCCATACATATGTCTCTAGTGCCTGTGCCATCAGGATAATCTGGGGGAAGGATGTGCACACAGTGGAAGCCTGTGAGGAGGAGCAAGTGGCTCTGTCAGCTCCTCCAGGTAGAGATAGATGCTTGCAGTGGAGGGGCTGTGGCATGCGCTGTTCCCCAGGTCTTGCCTCATCCTCTGCCCCAGCACCATTCCCAGTTTACTCCCAAGAGTCTTGAGATTGTCATTCCCATAGCAGAGCTCACTGGGCACTGTGCCAGCCAGTAGGGCGAGGACCTCCTCGCTTTCCACACTTTGGCTGTTGTCCTGGTGGCCTCTGGGGACAGCACAAAGAAAGAAGTCAACTTAACCCCATGGGCACGCCCTGTGTTTACGTCCTCTCCCAGGGGTAAGTACCTTTGG